AACCAATTTTCTTGGCACTACCAGTAAACCTTTCTGGTTTAAGACAACCCGGTCTCTGTGAAGCCAACATTCCAGGAGTCGTGTTTTTTTTTTCATTCTTGTTCAGTCTCATGGCGCGCCAGTGCGGGGGGTAAGGTGGTCCCACAGGGGCCGTGGAAGTGGAACCTGGTGAGAAAAAAAAGAATTATCTACAGAGTGCAATGAAATTAAAGAGTGTGTCATTGTGCAAAAGTAAATGACACGTGCTTGAAGCGCATGGTGGCAGGAGTGTTTTCCATGTTGAACTCGGCCACTGGGACGCCTCTGACTGCCACCTGAGGAGCAAACATGGCTGCAGGATACACGACAGACGAAGTACCGACCTGCAAAGCGAGATACCCACGAAACAGAGAGAAAGGTTCTGCTGATTACTACAAACTGGAGTGCTGTCAATTAAGCAGGCTGCAATTACATGCTGTAATAAATGTAACTTTTAAAATTTGAATATCCTGCCAACATCGCCAAAAACAAAGCAGCTTTTTGTGTTGTTGAGGTAGGTTGTGAAGCTCTGCTGTACCTGGAAAGATGCAGTGTGAAATCTCTGGTCCTATAGCACCTCTATAAATTCTCTACCTGTCCTGTGACCCCCCCCCACACACACACACACACAAACAAACACACGTACCACGAGGCAGAGGTCACAGCTGTCCAACACTTTCTCTGCACGGGTGAGGATGTCAGCATCCAGAGTCTCTCCAAACCAAACCACAGCTGGTCTAAGGAGACCGTGACAGCCTGTCTGCTCACACCTGAAATACACACCCACACACAGACACACACACGCACTTTGTCAAAACAAATAAATTTATTTGAAAAGAATTGTGTGTTAAAAGAGAGAGTGTAAGTGTGTTTTACCTGGGCAAATTCTGGACTGGGATCTCGGCATCTCGTGTGTCCGGGTCCGGAGCTCTGAGGAGACAGTTAGGTTGCCTTTGAGATGTTAGTTGCCACTACCAAGTGAACCACTTCTAAATGCACCTAATATTTCTCAGACATGGTCAGACACAGGGCTACAGGTGTAACTGTTACCCATTCACTTGAAAAAACTAATTCCAGCAAGTTGAAAAAAAAAAAAAAAACTCTCAACAGACTTTGGAGAAAATTGGAAAATTGGGGCTATAACCTTAATTCAAAGAAAAAAAATTTTTAGGCACAGATAAAGAAATGAAGAGTCTATGCTCAGTTTTCACTTCACATTCTTACTGAATATTGCTAAAGTAGCTTTGTGTGACTCATAATTTGTCTTTGGCGACCTGTCTTTATCCTGTCTTCCTCCCATCACCCCAACTAGTCAGGGCAGATTCCTGCTCCTCACTCAGTCTGGTTCTGCCAGAAGTTTCTTCCAGTTAAAAGGGAGTTATTTCCTTCCCACTGTTGCCAAGTGAGACAATGGTTATTGTACGTTTGGTGACTGTTGTTGTTATTTAAATGGTAAATGGACTGATTCTTATATACTGATTCTACTCTTCTAGATATCCCACAATTATCCATTTACACCCATTCACATAGGCACTTTCTCCTATGCTTTTAGTGCTTACTAGATAACGTTCACACACATTCACACTCTGATGGATGCATCGGAGAGCAATTTGGGGTTAGTATCTTGCCCAAGGATATTTGACATCATTGAACGACCAACCTTTCAATCAGTAGATGGTCTACTCTACCTCCTGAGCTACAGCCACACCCCCATTTGGCATTATATAAATAAAATTGAACTGAACCTGAGCCTCAGGTACACTGACTTTCAGGTATAGCACTGCCCTCACAGATGTACTGCAGTAAAGACTCAAAGACCTACAGTGATTGCACCACTGAGACTGTGGCCATGGAGTGTCCGAATAGAAAATCCACTTTAAATTTGTTTGGTGTTGTGTTTAGTTGTGCCCAGTGCCAACGTGGGACAGTTTCCAATTTCGTTGTACTATTGTACAAGGTATGACTGTGCAATGGTGATAAAGAGTTATCTTATCTTAAATTCATTTTTTTTTTTTTTTTATCAAAAGCAAAGTTATATTTTGATGATAAGAAAAAGTGACCTGCTCCATGATTAAAATCCATGATCTGATTAGAAGCAGGAGTTCTGTGATCTGTTACACCCCTACTTCTAATCAGATCATTGATTTTAATCATGGAACAGGTCACTTTTCCTTTCTGGAGGAGTTGCCTCTGAGTTGGCTGCTTACAACGACTAAGAATCAGGATCTTGGAGAGCTGCATGCGAACCTTTTTGAGGCGAGCATAAACTGCTCTTCCCCCTTGTCCGAATAGAGACGTATAAGCAGAGAGACAGACAATCGCAGGACCATAAAGTACGCTTTTACTGATATGTAATTGAAATCCTGGTAAAACTCAACAACCTCACACACTTGTGCCTTCTTCCATGTGAATCTGTTTGACCATTCTTTGTCTATTTTTTAAGATGCATGTGACCCAAGTGATTGCAGGGCTGTGTCGTTGATGTCGTTGGATGAGTGGTTCTAATATGTTGGCTTAAAGCTGGTTGCTTGTTATGAGCGTTTCTGTGAGCACGAAAGCATTCCACAGCCTCTTAATCTTAGTGGGATTTGTTGTTTATTTGATTTAGATTCAAGTTTTCAGATATTAGCTTTTTGGGATTTTTATTTTTTTGCTGTAAAAATACAACTTTTATCCTTGTCAAACTGTGCTCGCATTTCCTTTAGAATCGACTACGGAAAAGTGGACAAATTATGTGTTTTTGCAGCAGGCTGCTAGCAACAAATTGCCCAAAGATACAAATTAAACTTGTTTATGTGTAGACACGACACAGGTTCATCCATTGAGTTAGCCATTTTTTTATGCTCGAATGATTAAAAGGTCAGTGTTAAGTGGCTGAACAAACAAAACATTCCTCTGAAATTGGTCAAGTACATGAACTGGACTGACAATGACAGAAAGACCTCCAGAAAGCCCAGAGAAGTATTTCTCAAGAGCAGTTTATAAAGTTACAAGAAAGTCTGGCTCCTTGGAAACAAAATGTGAAGAAATAAGGATGGCTCAAGAATTTCTGACAATATTTTTTAAAACAATTTTCATACTTTTGACTAGAAAAACATCTAAACTCAAAATGATATTTTCAGTTCTTTAGTTGTTGTTTTTTTTTCATTGACCATTTGCAGTGCTGTGATAAAGCACACCAGTATGTCTCCACACCTTGAGCAGTAGCAATAGGAAAGAAAATTAAATTAATCTGAATCGCTAACAGCACAGTCAGTACAGATACGTTTCAACATGACATGATCGGTTCTGCTATTCATTCTGAATTTCAGCGCGTGACTTCATCCACTCTGCAGCTGAGACTGAATTCACCACAGGAATATTTGTCAGCTATCAACATCGTCCATTTTAAATGTCAGGTAAGTGGCACGGCGGCTTCTAAAGTGACATTTGATTTGTGTCACATATTTTCCTTTTTCACCGTGTCATCAGGCGTTATTTAGCTCACTGACATTTGACTGACTGAAACAGCCCGCTTTCTCTGGCATTTGGGGCGCAAATGACTGCGATCGATATCTCTTATAACACATTTTCACACTGTTGGGAAAACACAGTCCAATATACCAAACCGCACCGGATGACGCTCTTACCCTTTGCCCTCGAGGGCAGCGCAAATGGGGCTCTTGTAGTTGGCTGCTTCATGGCCACAGGTCATGCAACGTGTTTTAAACAGACTTCCTGTATTTCAACAAAAAAACAAAAACAAAATATGAACCAACAATTATCATACAGAAACGTTTGTTTGCCCGCATCAGACATCTTTGCTCACCGTGGATCTCCAGGATGTTTTTGGATCCAGCTCGGTGGTGGAGCTCGTCGATGTTCTGCGTGATGACGGTGACCTTGCGCCCTTGTTTGCTCAGACGCTCCTCACACTCAGCGATGGCCAGGTGAGCGGGATTGGGATCTTTTGTGAGCATGACCTCACGCCGGTAGTGGTAGAACTCCCAAACACGTGAGGGATTTCTGGCAAAGGCCTCAGGCGAGGCCAGTTCCTAACAGTTTTGAATTGTGCAATTAGATTTTTATCATGACCTATGATTCTCTCTGAAATATTTTTAAAAACTCAAAACAAAGCATGAGAGCTGGTTGTACTGGACCAACAGCTGTAGGTGTATACCTGTGCTTCCCATTTTCTCCAGTAGCCTCCCGCTCCTCTGAAAGTAGGAACTCCGCTCTCCGCACTCACCCCTGCTCCAGTGATGATGGCGATATTCTTGGCTTTGGAGAAAATCTCCCTGAATGCTGCCAGATCTGCACATAAACACAGCGAGGCAGTGAAATGCTACGACAGTTGTTGCTAACAGATTTGTGGCAGAGACTGTAAATAATCAATTTTACCTGAGCTTGGTCTAGCCATGGCTTGTCTGCCCCCAGGTTTTCTCAAGTGAGCAAATAAAACAGCTCTGCAGGTAAACTGGCGCACAATCATTAGGTTATTGCAACTGGGGAAGAAAGACAAGACCCTGTCACTATTTATAGCTGACTCTATGGCTTTATATCTGATACTCCTTCAACTAGTAAGCCAAAGTTTAACAAATTGAGTTTGTTAAAACAAACATATGAAAGTTTTGTCTCGCGCAGCAGACGTTATTTTGTGCTCCAGTCTAATGGATTTATTGATCAATCCTGAAATGCCTTTGAAACAAAGGTACTGTTAAAGTGACGCTTTATCTGGGTCAGTCCATAGAAACTATTGACTGTCTTGATTAAAATTGTACTATTTATCATCAAAGACAAACACAGAAATTTGTATTTCATAGCATACATGTGTCAAGTCTTACAAAGCTCATACCCATACTCTTAGCTATGAACACATTTGTTCTGTTCACTGTAATCACTCGATCTACCACACAACCACAGTAACCGTATAATTAAAAAACATTTTCCCTGTGTTATTTGACCATCACGCTAAACAGAGTAGATTACAGAAGGAATATTTAACAAAAAAGAAAAATGCTGTAAGGCAAAGTGTAAACTCACCACCATCTGTGTACTTTTTCCTCATACCACACTATTTACTCTTAGTGATGTCACTTCAAGAAACATGCGCAGTATTTTTGGTGCAGACGTGCTGTTACCATGGAAGTAATTATGGCCAAATATAAATGATGTTACGTTAACAGGAACATTTTCCTTTATGGACACTATCACTGCATTTTAAGGTAGAATTATCTGTGCTACTAAAAAAAAAGTGTGACATTGACATAGAATATGAGCGCTAAGAAATGATATCCGAAAATCCACATATTTAGAAGAAACCATGTATTTAATGTTATTTTACCTATAATAATAAACTAAGAAATTTACTTGTTTTTAGTCACTGGAAACTGTATAAAATACACATGCATTATGAATATGTTTATACTGCCCATGCAAACTAAAAAGTTTGTCGTCTGTGGTGTTATACTGTCTCGTTTTTATTGGTTGAGCATTAGTTGTATCTGAACCATTTTTCACTGCTGTCACTTTTGTTAGCTGAAAGGTCATTGTAGCTTTGCTTAAGTCAAAGGTCATATTTATCACAACACAAACATGCACCTCCTGCTGCCTTAACACTGCTCATTATTCACAATACTACTTACTTAGGTTGCGAAACAAATGATACGGTATTGTTTATCCTAACTAACCGATCAAGGTGTGTACTCGAGCACAGACTGATAGCTGACCATGTATGCTAGGTGGCTAAGCTAACGACATAGAAGCTAGCGCCGGTAACCAAGGAAACAACAGCTAGCATAACATTAGCTTGTGAGGCCAGCATAGCACGTCTTTGTCTGTGTTCATCGATGAACTGGGTTTGTCTGTCAGACACACGGTTTCGCAACACTAACTACCTGGCAGACCGGAGCTTGGACAATTAGCTGGGGCTTTAAGGAAGTGGGAAGGCGTCTTTTCCTCTACTTCGGCTCAGCAACTGCACTGGATTGGCTTCGCTGTGAGGACATGAACCTGTCAGGGAACTCAGCGAGGTTAACAGCAACCCATTTAATCCACTTGTCCAGCAGAGGGAGCATTTGTACTACACTTGTTTTTGCATTGAACGGGTGTTCACACACTGGACAAAGGTATTCAGCTACACTGCCTAATCATTTAATAAAGTTATATGATTATTTCTAGAGTAGTCTCCGGCCCCTTATTTGCAGTGAGGGAAATCTCTTGTCTAACCAAGACATTTTGTATAATTCCATGCTTCCTATTTTGCAGAGATAAAGCTGACTGTGCCCCAGTGCACAAAGCAAGGTGCATAAAGGATGGGTTTAATGTGGTGGAAGTTGACTGGCCCGCACAGAATCTCAGCTTCAACACCATCAAACACCTTTGGGATGACCTGGAACGGCCCCTGGGAACCAGCCTCAGAGTTTCATCTCACAAATGTTTTTCTGGATAAATGGGCAAAAATTCCCACAGACACATTCCAAAATCCTGTAGAAAGCCTTCCAAGAAAAGGGAAAACTGTTATACATGTTACTGGCTAACTCCATATTAATGCATTCATGCACTTACAATGAGATGTGATGAAATCTAAACACAAAAGTGTAATGTGTACCAATTTGAACAAATATTTTTGTTTGTTTGTTTGTATTTGGCTTCAAGAGATGTTTTACTGTGGGTAGAAAATGTAACCTCTGGTGCTGTACTTCAGTTTATAATCTCCACATGATCAAACATTTGATTCTGTTCAGACCTCTGGCATCAAGAAGGAATTTGAACCTAGAGAACTGCTACTCTCTGGATGTTTTTTTTCTCTTTTAAACTGTTTTGTGTAAACACTAGAGATGTTTATGCAGGAAAATCCCAGCAGACCTGCAGTTTCTGAAACAAACAGACCTGCCTGGTGCCAACAATCATGCTGTGTTCAAAGTCAATTCAATCACATTTCTTCCCTATTCTGAACTGTAACAAGTCATCTTGACCCTGTCTATATGTCTAAATGCATTTAGTTAGTGCCATGTGATTGGCTAAAGAGATATTTGCATTAACAAGCAACTGAACAGGTGAATCTAACAAAGTGGCTGGTGAGTGTGTCCCTCAAAAACTGTGTAGCATGTATAAGTACCACATACTGTAGGCCCTGTCAACTGTTATCCACACATCAGTATGGCCCTAAAAAAGAGTGGACTAAGTTGTACTCAGTTTGTGCTTTAAAAGAACTACATTTAAACACCTTGTTGTTGGTATAGTGATTGTGAACTCAGTGAATCTGTTTACAGTCATCTCCACTAGAGGTCACCAATGAATTAGTAGAATTATAAGAATATTAAGCAGAATACCAAAGCAGTGATATACAATAATAGTTAACATTATGAATCCTGTGTGATTATGGATGGATGGATGGAACTGCAGTGTTATAGCAGTCAATTAATATCATTCATAACCAGAGATGGGCAGTAACGCGTTACTGTAATCTGATTACTTTTTTCAAGCAACGAGTAAAGTAAGGGATTACTATTGCAAAATCGGTAATTAGATTACCGTTACTTTCCCGTAGGAACGCTGCGTTACTGCGTTACTAAAACCGTGATTTTTTTGCGAGAATGTCTCACGACAGTGACGTAAGCAAGTGCGCTGTTAGTGACAACAGCTGTGTGCAGATCAACAATGGATCACATATCGATTGTGGGAGAGAGTATGAGCGTGCAGCGTTTAAAGTGTGGAAGTACTGACCTTACTTTGAGTTTGATTCCATAAAAAGGGACAAAAACATTAGAGTCTGTTGTGCGTGGGAAGAAAACTTTTTACAACGAAAAAAAACCCTAAACTTCTGAGCAAGCCCAACGACGTAATGGGAAACTCACAGAGAAACTCGCGGATTCTTCAACTGACCGCGGCACACCTGCACCAGAGTAAACCTCCGCCTACCCTACTCCTGCTTTACAGGTGAAAATAGAGCAACAGGACCGCTGAGTCTTTGACTTTATTTATTTTCTGCTGTGTTTTACTTGCATCTATTTGAAAGAGTGAGTGTAAACACAAAACATATTTTATTTTATGTGCTGGAATGTGCAGAAAATAGGTTTAAATGTTAAACTAATTTATTCAAGTCAGAGAATGTTGCATATAATTAAATTTTTGCTTGATGCATAAAGTTAAAAGATTAAAACTGATAAAACAAGTTAAAAAAAGAGACTTTTCCATTTGATTACATTTTGTATGATGGATTATGCAGAAAAAGTAGAATTGGGCTGAAAGATCTGTGCTTTATCACCTCTTCAGGTTGTAAATCATGTTTTTAAAAAGTAACTAAGTAACTAAGTAATTAATTACTTTTGAAAATAAGTAATCAGTAAAGTAACTGGATTACTTTTTTGGGGAAGTAATCAGTAATTAGTTACTGATTATTTTCCTCAAGTAACTTGACCAACACTGTTCATAACACAAATAAAAAGAGGCAAAGCAGATTAGTTAAATCCCTTCTGCTGATGTCTCTCTCCATTGTACTACTACTGTATTTTGTAGAGTTAAAAGACTGGTTTATTGGATAATGATATATTAGTCATATACAGTCCACGCATCCCATAATCCAAGCTGATGTAAAGATTTTATTTATTTTGTTTTTGCTTTTAATGCAAATGCAGCACATTTACTTTTTTTTTAACAAACGTGTTCATATGTTTAAAAAAGCCAGCTCTGTAAGTCATTTTCTTTACGTAATGATCTATTTGAAATTTGACTTCTTTAGCCTATAAAACATAGCAGCCATTATTTAATATTTCATTATTTAGAACTGCAAAAAAAATATTTCTTTTATTTATCAATTGGGTAGCATTTATTTACCAGGGCAACTGATCTATGAATCAAGAATTTATCAATTGTAGTTAAATCTGGTTCCCAAACTATATATTAGCATCTTCAAATGTCTTGTTTTGCCCAAACTTGATTCATTTACAGTTTACAAAAAGCAAAAAAATATACAAACAGCATTTTTATTTTATTTTAATTAAAGTGCCTTATTAATATCCTTTTTAAAAAAATTAGATCAATTATGTTGAATTATTCTTTATGTATTTATTTATAATTATTTATTATTTTCAATTTCTGTATTTTATTAAAAATGGGGTATATGTACATATATTGCAAATTCTATTTGAAAAGCTGAAACCAGGTGGTTTTGTTTTTCTACATCATTGACAATTATTTTTCTATTAAAATTGGTCATTCGAAAAAGCCTGGCTTCGTCAGCATGACAGCAGCCTGTTCAACTTGTCAAACGTGCATAAGGTCTGCTGTATGCTTCTTTCCATCCACCTGCCCAGGGTACACCTTGGACAAGTCACCAGTCATTTTCATATTATATTACTGGGCCAGCACTGCCTTGTAATAAGGCTCTAGCATAAAGAGTGGTTCCATAATTGGTCATAGCAGTATCCAAACATTTCTCAGCACTTTATAATTGATGACACATCAATGAGACACACACGAGGATCGTAACAATGGATTTTTCTATTATGGGAATGTCATTTGCAATCTGTGACCAACGTTTTTGTTGTTGAATTTCTCGTCTTTTATTGTAAGAGTCGATAACTCCAGACAACATGTGACCGTTAAAATTATGTGTTTGAGGACAGTGCAGTCTATTGCTTTTCATTGGCCAAGGTGGAGTCGGAACTTGAGCAGGTGGCGCTCACTTACTGGAACAGTAGCTCATCAAGGATCCAATCTTTCTCTCCCTCTCTGTCTCTCTCTTCCCCCCCCTCCTCCCCTCCAGCACCGTTGCAATAGCCCCCCCTCCTACACCGCCTGCCCGCGCGGGTGCACGAGTGGCTGCTGCGGCGCCGAATCTCTCGCAGTCGCGCCGGTCGCCAGTGGACGCTGCCCGGCTGGCGGAACATGGCGGCGGCCCCGGAAGAGGAGGTAGACCGCAGACCGATCCGGAGGGTCCGCTCCAAGAGCGACACGCCTTACATCAACGAGGCGAGGATCTCTCTCCACCTGGAGACAGGTAGGGCTGCTCGCCAGAGCCGCGGATCCTCTACGCTTCGTGTCCGGGTGTATTCGTGTCGTCTCCTCCCACGGGGGAGGGATAGTGTAGTGTAGTGAATCTGTTCTCACTGTGAGAGAAACTGCTTCATCGCCCAGTGACAGTTCCCACGCTGCAGCAGCATGACTTTGGGCTTTCATTGTGCAGCCTTCGCGGCACCCACAGTGCTCGGCTTTCACACTGGGTGGCCGGTAACCACACTGTGACTCATGCACCGGGAAATGGGGAGAATTCCCCACCTAAGCATGGGCGATGTACTGTATAGCAGGAGATAACAATTAGCCCTGTAGAAGGATTGATCGCCGCCTCTCCTGCCGGACTCCGCCTCGATTGTCCGCTGCGGTGAGCTGCTGTGCGAACTTGGGCTGCTATTGTTGGTGAAGGGTGAAGGAATGGATAGTCCGCCCTGCTGTGCTAAGCGCGGATGCTCAAGCTCAGTTTGTCTGGAGAGAAAACGGGCGAGATAAGTTGTTTCCCTTGTTGCCATGGTCACGATGATAACGCCGCAACGAAAGCTTGATTAGCAGCATGTCGATGCGAGTATACGGGCAGATATGCGCTCCTTCTCTCGACACTTTCTGCCTTGTGCTCCCCCATGAGAGAGGCTTAATGACACATCAGTGCGGAGCTGTCCACTGCCCCTCGGTGCTGAAATGCCACCAATGCCAAATGCAAGGAATGTGCAAGTCTCCACTGATGTTAACCTGCATAACATTTATAATCGGTCGTTTTTTTTAAGTATCTCTCTCTATATATATATATACAATGGGATATTGCATGCGGATTGCCTGTGGTCGACCCTCCCCCAGAATTTGCCGATGTGACAAATCCCAGTCACATTGTGTGCCTGGTATAGCCTGGTAGACTAGGCTCTAGATTCAACCCTATATTTTCCATTTTGGAGGAAAGAACTGTGGAAAATTACCCTCCTGCCCAGTTGTTGTTCTGCTTTGCTTGAGTGATCTTATCAAACATGGAGCTCTTAGTAGGAAGCACAGCTTTCATCCAAAGGTGTACAGTAACATCTGGTTTTTGCCTGCAGCACATGTGAGAAATGTATGCCAAGAAGCCAGACTTACATAATAAATCTTAATGAGATCAGGAATTACTCAAAAACTTGCCCTGTAATGTGCCCCCTTTTAGCCTGCTTAGACCTTTATGACTCATGCTGTTCAGACCCACCTACTCATAATCTCTCACAGCTGCCCTCTCTCTGCCCTCAACCATCTTCCTCTCCATTTTGTTTCCTATTAAAAGCAGCACCTCCTCTGAGCCAGATTAACTGACTCTCCAACTTTATAAATAACACTATTTTTCTGTTTTAAATATATCCTGGAGCCTTCTATTGGGCCATGGCTTGAATGTGAAGGAGGAGGGGGGCTGCCATGTCTTGCTAACAGTGCTGCTCCTGGCTGTTAGCTGAAAACAGAGTTGGGCAGGCTGCAGCTGCATGAGACTGGCGTGGCATCATCAAGAATCCAGCGGGCACTGCCAGCTATGTCGGGAGAGCACAATTTTTCTTCACCCGTTCTGCTGGAAAATTCCATATGCTCTTCCCCCTTTTCATTGTCTCTTCCCCCATTACTTTGGTTTAATCTCATTTTCTTTTCCTGTCACCACTGAAACCATCTGCCCACTTACTCATTTAATTCTCCCCCAATTTTACTTCATGTTTTTGTGTTTAGGCTGCTGTGTGTTTTGCATAAATCTAACCCACTCATTTTCTTTGATGTGTGCCTCCATGCACGTGTGACAAATATTCAAGCCAACTTCAGAGTACACACATACGTCTGCGTGTGTGTGTGTGTGTGTGTGTGTATGTTTGCTTTCACGTGCATGCCTGTCTGGTCCACATGCGTGTGTGGGAGGCTGTGCTATGTGAGTACCGGGATTAGTAAACAAGAGGTTATCACAGTGGCTGCTGCCAGACAGCTTGCTGTTGTTCTCTGTAGCCTGACCCTCTTCAGCCACATCCATTAAACATCCAGGTTGAGATGCTTATCACTGCAAAACCCATTAATGAGGTCCTGTCCCTTGTAGTACCTAAGGGCATTGTTGATATGGTTTTGTTTGAATCAAAGGCAGTTTTGGGAAAGTATTTTGACCACTTTAAACCACAAAACATGTATTCTGAAGTCTCCCTGAACTTTCTACATCAGTAGCTTTAAAGTTAGAAACAAACAGTTATATGTCATATGAGTGGCATTTTCCACTGACACGGTGTGTTTAGTTTTTCTTTTGCACCACAAAAACTACCTGACCTTTTACTGCGTGAAGCTGTTTAAATAGGCTGGTTCTCAAAAGACACCAAGACAGAAGTGGCTCGGCATCAGCACCCGTGTCTATGGGAAAAGAGATGCCCTTTATCTTTACAGAACAGAGGACAATACATTATGAGAGTAAGTTAGGTATGCTATGAATAGCACAAAATGGAGAAGCTGGGTTCAAGGGGCGTTGCAAAGAAGCTTTCAGAAAACAGTGATTATTGGTTTCCACTGTTTCTTGCATCTGTTCATACATGCAGGTTGATGGCATTTATAGTGACTTGTTGTGAGTAATCTGATTACTCAGTTACCTCTGTTTTATACATTTAGAGAAAGCATTATCTTCCCTTGTTCTGTGCATATTTTCTTAGAATATATGCATTCCATTTTGGTTCATATGTGATAAGATCATTGAACTGATGTATCACTTTAAGGGCTCACGAGTTATAATCTTAACAGCTGTTGTTCCAAACCTTTATATCATTTTTCTGCTCAAACTAAGCTGTGTTTTGTTTCGGTGCTTCCTAACCCTGATCATATTATTTGTGCCCAAGCCTAATCAAACTTCACCACAGCAGGTCATAACACATTCATATGAATTTTCTGATGCAGGTGCTTGAAAAGGATTTTTACAATCTAATGACAAACGGTGTGATTCTGCAAATACTGAAGCTGTGCTAGACTGGAAAACACTTGGAGGTAGTGACAAATCATCTGTTTAGTTGCTTTCTCGGGTAGGGAAACGAAAGCTGTATCAATCTTTGTGGACATAAGAAATCATGGAACTCCAAACCAATTTGGCAGGCAAACAGCTGTGATGAATTATCGCCTTTGGATGTTGTAATGGCTAATGTGTTGGCAAACATTTGTCTTCTTACACTAGCAACCTAAGCACCGAATGGAGCTGTGTTTGTGTCTGCCTGATGAATTTCAATCAAATATTCTCCTTTCTTCTTCTTACACATCTTAAACCGCTAATTGTTTCAATGTCTTTACCAGCTTTAAAGTCGTAATACTAGTCATTCGTAATAAATGAGGTAACCATGGACTGATCTGATCAATTTCAAATTTTAGTTTTTCTTGTGGTTTCCGTTGCCTCGGGCCAGTCGAGATTCTGTTCAGCATCACCTTTCTTCAGCAATTGAAATCCAGGTCAACTCAGTGAGAGCTTAGTATTTCTCACAAAGACCAAGACCAGAGCATTACCATACTGTCTTTCAAGCAGAGAGATGGAGTTCTAATACAGATCTGAATGAACGGCTGAGACAGAGAGGGCTTAAATGCGAGGGGGTGCAGGAGCAGGAAGGATCTGACAAGAGGACAGGCTAGGAGGATGAAGCCTTTCTATTATGGCACCATAAAGACTGGCACGGTGAGAAAGAACCAGAGTTGGCTGTTGTCCATTGAATATAGTAAGAACAGTGCACAAATAAACCACCTCCCCTCTCTCTGAGTAATACCCTTTTGTTGCTCTTATTCTCTCTGCTTCTGTCTCACACACATACATAAACGCTGCTATCTGCATACATTAAAGAGGCCTTGAGAAGCAGACTGCTGAACCTACCTGGGTAGAATACAAAAGCACAGGGAGGAAGTGGAAGAGCTTTAAATGCAGAGGAGTGCTTCCACCGCCTTGCTGCCTTCCACCCAGTGCACAAAACCTTTCACTCTTCCTCTGCTGGCACGTGGTTCGGTCCATTCACCTCAGACAAGCTGGTTATTGTGCCGGGAGCGAAATCTTGAGCCAAAGAAGGCGACGGACACAGATCTAAGTTGTTACTCATGATTCGAGCCCAACATATAGAACTTTTTATTTCGAAATTGATACTCATATCTGTATTTGGTGATTTAAAAAAGTCCAGTACATGAGCCAATATTTTCTTTCTTTCAGACACACAAAACAAACAGATTTCCCTAACATTTATATGGGTAGTTATTTGATAAAAATGCAGCTGTAGCTTGGGATCCAGCAGCTTACAGGACTATAGAAAGAAAGTTAATGATTGATTGTGGAGTACACTGGCATATAAACACTTCACCTGAGCGATGCATAAAGGCAAAATAAAAGGAAAAGCGGTATATGGTTTTGCACCAAAAAGTGTCTTGTGATTATTAGATTGTCACAGTTTTCTTCAGCACAGAAGGCACTGACTTGACTGCAAACACTAACTATTCTCTCAGTGGTAGGGAAACTGTGAAAAGTGTGACTCAAACAAGAAATAGAGACCATTTGTCTTTAGAGTAAAAACTGTTTCATTTGAAACGTGTTGGTTGCAGTGCTGAGGCAAGGTGTTTTCCATTATAATTACATGCAACCACAACAATCTGCTAGTGACCAAAGCAATCACAAGCAAGTGTGATTGATTTCAAATTGATCCAGTTTGTATAAGAAACAACTTTCAGAGTTTAAAAAACACTGTCTGTACACCAGCTGGTTTCTGGGCCTGTGTCACTGAGACATTTAACACACATGCAAGAGTTGTGCATTCAAAGCTTAATCTTGCCCATTAGCATCTGTGGCTACAGACAGTGTTTTTTACACTCTGAAAGTTGTTTCTTATACAAATTATAGCAGTCTTATTGCTGACGGCACTCGTAGCACGCTCATAAAAATAGTTGCATTTTTAGGCAGGACTCACATATGTTGCTTCAGTGAAGATGGTTATGCCTGCAGTTTGGAGGGTATCTTATGCTAGC